AGAAATGTAAAGAGTGAGAAGAAATACGAAAAGAAAAAGGAATTTTGAATAATCAAAAAATAAGTCAAGAAAGAAACTAAGATTAAAAGAAAGTATGAAAGAAAGAAAGAAAGAAAGAGAGAAAGGAACGAAGAAAGAAAGAAAGAAAAAAAGAACACAGAAAGGAAGGAATGGAAAATAAATAAATATTCCTCAAACTCTAAAATATGCGAAATTTAGAATCTACAACAAATAATAAGAATAATTAAAAATATTGAAAAGCAAATGAAAAAGCAATGTACGATTAAAAAATAGCCATTGAGATTTGAATAATTTCGGAGACTAAAGAAGGCAGAATGTTAGTAAATGAACAAAAGGTAAACAAAAAAGATAACGAGATATAGAAGCAATAGAAGACATTGAACAGTAAGTAAATACCAAGATTGAAACAATTTGATCTTAAAACGCAAAGAACAAAATGAACCAAAAGACAAAAGTTGAATATCCAAAGCAAATAAAAGTTCAACATAAAATGTTACGTCATAAACAATATGGGGAGCACGATGTAAAATAAAATAGAAGCCGATTCTTATAAAATGAATTGATGAATGTAATTAAGATACGAATGATTTATGCACCTATTTCTCCGGTATGTAGCGACATCTTTTATTTTTGTTTCTTTATTCTGATGTTTCTGTAGCTAATTCCTGAGTACAAAAGAAATCTTTAAGACTATATAAACCTTTCAAGTGGTTTGGTGTGAATATTAATAAGAGACAGATAAAAGTAACCAACAAAATGAATAATTGCACAATAAGGTTTTAAATCACTCCAATTCGACTGGTTTTTGATAATAGATTCTAAATGCATTTGGAACCTGTTAGTCTGGTGTTATACACAGCTCCACGTGGCTACTGGTATCTAATAGGTTTAACTCAAACAAAAGCCATACTTGTATATAAGCCAGTGAAGATCGAACTAAACTCAGTTCAATGCAGTAATGATGGTGCGTTCCTCGATCTTAAACACTGATTTAGTATAAAGTATATACGTGTAAATAAATCCAGATATGTATATGTTTGATAATTTTGGCAAAACAACAGTTTTATTGGAGCTATTGTTGCAGAAAACAGGGACTTGGATATGATGTGCGTATTCGAATCTGACCTTTGAATTCATTATGCAAACAAAGTTCACACATACAATTACAGCGATATGAATACATATATCTATCTATCTCTTCTCCCTATCTCTCTCACTCTCTATATAGAAAGACCAATCCAAGTACGCCCTCTTAATTTAAAATGTTAAAAGGATAAATCCATGAAGAGATTTCCATGTATTGTGTAAAAAGCAATATGATATACATCAAAGAAAAAACTTAACATTTCATAGCTGCCTCATCAGACCGAAATTAGAAAACTGAAAAGAAAAAAAAATTAATACTGGATATATATATATATATATATATATATATATATATATATATATATATATATATATATAAGCAAGTGTAAATGGATACAAATCCGACAGAATTAAGAAATTTTGAAAAAACAAACAAAATTTTTTTTCTTTCATTTTAACTACATTTAAGGATTTTTGTTTGTTTTTTCAAAATTTCTTCATATATATATATATGTGTGTGTGTGTGTGTATAAATATAAACATATATATATATATATGTAATATATTGTATATATTATTATTTATATATTATACGCGCACTACTTATTAGAAAGCGTTCAATATCAGAGATAGAGCTAACATATTTTCCCCTGTTTTATTTATATATATTTATATTATTTCCCGCTTTTGCGATCGTTTGACGATCGCAAAAGCGTGAAACCCAGGGTCATATATTCACATCAACCCAACTAAATATATATATATATATATATATATATATATATATATATATATATATATATACGTATATATTTAGAAATAAAACGTACTTTTTTTCTCCGTCTTTTTTTATGGCCGTTCCGTCCTCCATTAAATATGAAGATGCAACCAAAGTTCACCGATTCACTTCCCAACAAATATTAAACTTGGAATGTGACAGAGGAAATAGGCTGATCGGAAATCCGGCTGAGATTCGTTGGCTGTTCATTTTATCACGTAGCTTTGTGTGCACGGACACCGAGTGGGCTGTGAACTCAAGAGACAGGGTAAATGCGAGGTGTAGATCGAAAGAATTCTTTGAGACAGCCTACGCTATGGGACTGCACGAACGACAAACAAAAGTCTGTAAGCTTGTCAATTTGTGAGCGATCAATTTTTGGCCTTACTAAAAATATAATGGACTCTGGCGTATGGAGTTGCAGTACAAGAATCGAAAGATTTGGTAATTTTCTGTGTGTACAGAAGCCAAAAAGACGAAGAGAGAATGGAAAAGAAAAAAATGAATAAGGATGGATGAGGAAATGGACGCGTGGATTGAGAAATGAATGAAGCGAGCACAAATCGATGGAGAGGGTGTTATATCAGTCAAGATAGATACGGCGGACGGTGACAGCTGCAGATATAGAATCGTCGATTTAGCATAGGAATGTTTGATAGGAATCTGTTGAAGCTACCCTGGTCGATGGCACCTCGGAGTAAAGAAATCTCTCGGAAAGAAGAGAAAATGAATTCCAAGATAAACAGTAGAATTCTTAACGCTTATCGGTCAATCAAGGACGTAATGAAATCTACAATTCTTTATTGACGTACGATTTACGGCACGCCACACCGGCATGAAAAGGGATAAATATAAATTAAATAGAGGAAAGATGTGAAAAAAAATTTGGTCAGTATCTTAGGGATCAAGAATTACCATTATGCTTTGCCATTTAGAACTGCGAGATCATTTGGTTCGAAAATCAAAAAAGTTTGTCAAAGATACCTGAAAGCCGTAGAATACATCTTTGGAAACAATGTGAATATAAAAAAGCAAATGAGTTTCCGGTTCGAATAGCAAAATATATAATAGTAAAAAATGTTATTTATCGTCTACTTTTATGTTTATTTTCTAAGCGTAGTTCAGATGTGGCACAAGGCCGAAAGTATGGGGCACCTAGTGAGCATCGAACATATTTTCACTCGTAACTGATCTAGTGAGATAAGTTTGCTAACCTTTACACTAGGACGGGGTAGCCAAAATATACCGGCTATTTTTATGTAATGTACCGGTCACGACATGGGTGATCCTGGCTAGTCATAAAATACCATCCTTTGTAGATCTATCTAATTTTGTTGTCCTTACATCCCTCGAAATTGATTTTCTGCCATTCATCTACACAGGCCCGTTAATTATATTATTCTCTGTTTTTCTATTCAGCTCTGGCCTATAATATTACTTGTGAGTGTCGAATTCTCCACACCCTCGTTCCACATTATATATTACAGACACTTCATGTCAATGTCTTCACCTAATTCCAATTTTACGTATCGTCCTGATTTTCAGTCTTTATCAATTCACTTACTTTACTAAATATTAATCACGTTGTCTGAATAAATCATAAAGTAGGCATGTTAGATGAAAATCCAGCTAGTTTTAGATCAAAATCCCACTAAAATCCTATAGACATATTGATCCACACACATACACAATGGCCACTAAGATCAACACCGGCGACAGTTTGTTTCATACTTGAAACACAATCGTCAGATCCACCTGAACCCACGATCGTTTATACTCGCTCTATAACTGATATTCCGTAATTTTAACCATATATCTAACACAACTTAAAATATCATATATACAGTGTGTCCATAAGGTCCGTGTGCACCTTAAAAATTTATAACTTTATTTGTATTTGCGATAGAAATAATCTATGAAAAAATGTCATAAATTTTAATGTACCTGTTTTTAAGTATAGGTAAAATAACTAATGTGATTTCAGGCATTACTGTAAATCAGTTGGCAAATGTTTTCCGTGAACTGCAAAATCGTATTACCCTTTGTATTGCTAATGATGGAGGACATGTGGAAACTTTCAATAAAACCTTAAAAAAATATAGATTTACTTCTTTCTAATCCTTTTTATGAATTATTTCTATCGCAAAAACAAATAAAGTTATAATTTTTAAAGTACACACGAACTTTATGGACACTCTGCATATATATATATATATATATATACACACACATATACATATATAAATATATACATATATATATATATATATATATATATATATATATATATATATACATATATTATAAATATATATATATACACACACATATATATATATATATCTATAGACATATATATATATGCTTATAGATATGTATATTTATATATACTTATGTATATATATACGTATACATATATTTATTTATATATATATATATATATATAGAGAGAGAGAGGGTGGGGAAAGAGATTAAGATTACTGATATTATATTAATTTATCTAACCGGATGTTTTCGTCTCACTCCTTACACCTGACCGCAAATTAAAGGAAATATATAATTACAGCTTCATAGCTAATTCCTAGACCAATTAAAAAGATGCTATATATGTTATTTATGACTTTTCTAGATTTTGTTCTTCGCGTAAATATCTATAGTTTGGCTCTGTGAATTTGTCTGAGCGAAAGGATGAAAAAAGATACCGCATTTAAATCAGCAAATGACAGCCATGATTAATCATTTAATTTAGATTTACAGTGCTGCGCTTAATTCCCAAAAATGAGTTCAATACATTTACCTATAAAGTAAACACATTTGCTGGATTTTTCATCCTATTGACAAGATTATCTACTTATTGATTAAAGCAAATGACTCACACAAGTATATATTATTATTATTATTATTATTATTTCCTTTGATTTCTGTCGTTTACACGTTTCTTTACGTCTCCCGCCCAGTGACCTAATGTTAGCAATGGCATCATGACACTTTCCAATGTCAAAAAAATATTTTACATAAATAAAGCCATTCGAAAAGTGTGGGCTGTACTTCTCACAACAATTTTTTGTATCTCTTTGAGGCAATGACTTCCAGGAACCCCTTCAAATAGTCTACTGGAATTTTCTCCAACCAACCCTAGGGCTCCAACTACAACAGGGGTTGTTGATGTTCCCATTTGCCACATTTTTGAGATTTCTATTTCAAGGTCCTTGTATTTTGATAGCTTTTTGAATATCTTCAAAGATAGATTGCAGTCAACAGGGAGTGCCATATCAATAAGGAGGCACTTTTTTGTTTTTGGCCCTTAATAACAATATCTGGGCGGTTGGCTTTGCTTGTTCTAAGAGGGTGTATTGTGTAGTCCCATAGAATTGTAACAGGGCCTCTCTCCGTAACCTGGTCTGGTTGGTGTTCATACCAGTTTCTTTAAGTTATGTGGCACCATTTAACGAGGCACAAAAAGAAAAGAAAGAAAAGAAGGAAAGGAGAGGCTAAGGACCGAATCGTGGATGATAAGCAGAACACACACATGGCTAAGAGACAATGGATAAGGGATATTTTGATAAGTAACCAATGGCGAAAGAGTGTCATTACAATGACAGGTAAATTCTGAGTAAAAAAGAAAGAGAAAGAAAGAAAGAATCAGATATGTTTTGGCGATGGCTGTGTTATCTAAGGATATGAAAACAAACTATTGGTACGGGAAGGCATCTTATTATCAACTACAGACCGACTGGCCAAAGAAAAATTCAAATGAAAATGTTATTTCGATAAGTGACAAAAAAAAAACAGGCAACTAAAAGGACTTTGGACAGATATGAAAAAATAAAAGCCACCCACGAGTGTCCGTTGACCGATTTCCTTCGACGGAACATCCTTGGCCTGCGATAATAAAATTATGTTATCAGAAATATGTACCGAAGGGAAATGAATGGGAATTTAGAAATGTCTTTTCGGCCCGACTAAGGCATCATTGGTCGAGTGGTGATCACGTGACGCACGAGGGAGGCTGTCGCCGCCCATCCAGAGTGTAGGTATGAGAAGCTGCTACGAAGAAGTGGGGAGGGCAGTTCACGCCCTCTGAAGTATGGTGAGAAGGTGGGAGTGAGGAAAGGTTCCCAAAAATGAAAAGAATGGAAATTCCTAACCAGAGAGGTGGATATGTATTTAGAATTATCGAGAAACCCCGACGCCGACAACCCCCCACCGGTTTTGGTCGGCGTCCATATAAGCAAAGCCACAACGAGCAGAAATCAGTTCCAGTAAGTTCAGTTCCAGAAAAGTTTGAGTTGAGTCTCCAGTTGAAGCCGCCTCGCAGATAGCTGACCAAGATTCACGCAAATTCCGGACTCCTCTTCAACCCAAGAACAATTATTTTGAAGAGCGACTTAGATCCAGACCACCGAAATAATTTTTTTTTTTTTCGACTTTCGTCCGAAGACACACCGAAACACCAATTTCTTAGAGAGCAAACAACTTGAAGCGTTAAAACTTGCCTAACGGAAAACGACGTGTCACAATCCATAGAACGGGTCGGGAGATAGATGCAGTCCTATGTATCGAACAACTAGACATAAAGTTTGTTACCTTTTTTCTTTGATACTTTGAACTTTTTGTGTTTTCATTTTATTTTATTTTATGTATAGTGTGTGGTATCACCCCCGTTGAACTGGTTTGCATTACGGCCCCAACCACTGATTGATCTCGTCTGCCTAGGATCAATTCACAACGTGGGTAGGCAGACTGGAGATCAATGCAGTTACCTTGGTAACCAGGCGTTGGAAGCGAGTTGGGAACGACGAGGCTGATATCAAATCTAACCAGATTCCCACCCGAATCACCAAAAGGTTAGAACGTCACATTTGGGTGCCGCGACCGATACCAAGCCAGTTGGTCGTCACAGGACGAGACAACACGACTGACGCGACAGGCGGACGTCGCGTTTGGAGCAGCGACACCCGAACGGAGCAGCGAGGAGCGAACAGCTGGCGCCGCAGCGAAGACGTCACAATTGGTGCTGTTTAGGGACGTCACAGTTGGCGCTGCGACCAGGGGACGACGTCACAGTTACATTTCCGTAGAAGTTTCATATTTTCTAGTGCAGATATTGACCCACTCTGTCATGCCGGGTTTTATACTCAGTGGGTGCCAATATCGTGCAACCTAATACAAGATGATCAATCGTTTCTGGATATTTATCACACAATCTCCATTTTGGGATAACACAATATTTTAGTATATGTGTTTGATAATTACTAGTTGACAAGCATTGGTCTTATGCAGCAAGGATAAAACCTTCAATTTTAGCTTTCAACACAGCGTCTACGTAGCCACTGATGGGTAAAGGTTTTGTCCACGTCAGCTTGTTTGGCATTGGCCATGACGCGGTTTATCTTCTTCTTATTATTATTATTATTATTAATATTATTATTATTATTTCCTTTGATTTCTGATGTGTACACATTTCTTTCCGGGTCCCGCCCAGGAACCTAAGGTTAGAAATGGCATCATAACATTTTCCACTGACAAGAAAAAAAATTACATAGACAAAGTTCTTCGTAAAGTGTGGGTTGTACTCATGAGAACAATTTTTTTGTATTTCTTTAAGGCATGGA